GTATATACAGATAAAATGGAGATTATGTGGCGTGCTGACTTGATTTAGTTTGAAATTTGACAGAAAAACTGAGAAGAAACTGGAACTCAATCAAAATAGGCATCTAGAATTACAGCATTAATTGGTTTTCACTAAAAGTGAGACCAAAATGCTAAAAGAAATTTCAAATAAAACAAAATAATCACTAATCTAATATCTTCAAAATCTTTGATAACAAAACTTCAGTTTACTCTGTACCACTTACACATATAAGCTCCTTTTTGTAGACTTTGCATAAAAGTAATAAAAACAAAATGGTCTCTGTTTTTTACGTAAATAAACATGAGGAAAACCAGTTGTTTACCTCGCTGCCAGCAGCCAGAGCGAAGCCGCCTCCCAGCAGCAGGATGATGTTCCAGGGCATTCGCTCGTGAACGACCTGCCAGCCCAGCAGAGCCGGAGGAGCCTTCACCAGTTTACCTGTGGGACGCAGGAAACAGAGAACTGTAAAGATGCTGGTGAAGCACGTCGTACCGAGGATCAGCACCAGGTCGACCSAAACACCTGACCTGCCTCGTTGTAGCCGTAGCTGCCAAACGTCGGCAAGCGAGAGGGAATGATGAAGAAGAGCATGGACATGAAGATCGCAACGGTTCCGTCTGACACAAACCTGAACGAAACAATTTATTAAGTGCTGAAGGTTGCAGGTAAGATAGTGACTGCTTAGAAGCAGTCCTCACAGCCACACTCTTGAACAAARCCAGGAGGAGAAATGAAGAGACTCACGCCCCGTCCTGATTGAAGAGCACTGTGGCCCAGCCGGGGATGAAGCCCGGCTCCCTGGTGAACCAGAGGAGCACGAGCAGGACGAAGATGGTGAGCACGGCTCCTTCGGCAAACTTCATCCCGCCCAGCTTCCTGTACTCCCCTCTCATCACGGCGTAYGCCTCCTTATCTCTGTCGCTTTTCACGCCGCAGCCGAACGACTTCTTCAGGCTGACAAAATAAAACCAACAGATTTGAACAAACAACTGAATCCTTTCTCAACTGAAACAAACAAACGAAGACAAATTGGAAACTGATGAGGTGGTCTTACTTGAAGCCCAGAAACATAAACTGAAGCCAGAGCCAGGAGATCACCAGCATCAGCACCATGTTGGGAAAAGCAAAACCAAACCAGCTGGCAAAGTTGATCACGTCTCCGTTTCCAGGGAAGAGCCTTCASAAAAGAAGGTGAGGAGCGATAAGAAGAGCAGAAATTTGATCAGTTGTTAAGTTGTTGCTTTWAGTGCCTCACTTGTCCATTTGACCCTTGAGGATGAGGTTAGGTGTGGTGCCGGTGAGCGTGGCTGTTCCTCCGATGCTGGCAGAGTAACACACACTCAGACTCATCCCTTTAGTCAGGAGGTCGTACTTCTCCTCCATGGCCTTTCTTCTAGAATCTTTCCARGCCTCAATATTTTGCATGGGCTCAGCTGAATATGGACAAATCGAAAAAGTTATTGCAGGTGTTGTTTGTTCATAAACACATCTGCTTCGTGAACATTTTTACCCACCAGCACCGTTCTCATGTGGAAGCTTCTTATCTGTCATCTCCTCCTTGGTTTCCATCTCAAAGCCGAGGTTTTCTTGAGCTGCGATCTGGAAATCTCGCTCTTCTGCTTGAGCCTCGGTTGCCTGCAGCTGATGGAGGACGGCGTGAGCGATGGGCAACATCATGGCTGTGGTGGCTGTGTTGCTGATCCACATGGACAGGAAGGAYGACACAATCATGAATCCCATCATCAACCTGGAAGTGAGGCGAGAAAAAAGGATTCTGATCACCGTGAGCTGTGATGGGTTCCATTTAGGATGAAATGTACGGTCTATTAATTTTTTATGGATTTCTTTGCTTGTATGGAGCTGCAAGTGTAAAACGTTAAAAATTGACACATTTATTTTATTTAACTCACTTTCTGAGAGTAAAATCCTAGTTTAAGTGTTTTCATTAAAATTTTATTGCATTATAATTCTGGGTAGCATTAGCTAACAATGGGTTAGAGTTAGTTAACCAGGATGATGTCATTATCCTGCAACTGATGTCAATGCTAATGCTGCTAATGCTACCAATGCTGCTAATGCTGCTGGAGATAGTRTTTAAAATCTAAATTTAAAATGTGTTTATTGAAAACAGCATGGTTGGTCCTGTGGTCCAGCACAGGACACCGGCTGCAACTGCAAATTGGATGTCTTAGAGCAGTRGTGTCCAAAGTCCGGTGTCCTGCATGGTTTAAGTGCWGCTCTGGTTCAACACAGCTGAACCTAATTAGTGCTTAATTAGCTKGCCTTCTCAGYAGGTCATMAAGGTCTGCAGAGGCCTRCTAATTAGGCACTCCTTAGGTTCAGCTGTGCTRAACCAGAGCAGGACCGAAAACATGCAGGACACTGGCTCTTGAGGACTGACTTTGGACACCACAGTCTTAGAGGGAAGCGTTAGCAGCGTTAGCAGCGTTAAGGTTTCGACRCAYGGGGAGCGACAAACGTCAGCGATTAACGGCTGTCATCGCAACCAGGGTGAAACCCGACACACGGGACGCAATAGCGATGGCATCGTTGCGAATCTCGCTCTCGGGTCGCTTGTCTTCACAAAATTTGATTGGTTCTTCTACTGCCTCTTGTAAAGGTTATTGGTGGTTCACAAAAAAAGTGGGGTGCATTATGAATGTGTAAACTAAACAAATCTTGCGATGCTAATGATGTTGAAAAACAAACACACACCAAGATACAATTTTATGAGGAAAAACTTGCGGGATAACTTCACCCTGGCGCCAACAAATTCCCACAAAGCTGCCTTTTTTAGTAATCACTTGGTAAGAGTCATATAAAACTGGAAAGTTTGACAGAGCTAAAATAACGTTGAAAGTGTTAGCTAACTGCAGTGTGTAGTATACTCTCTGCTCATTGGTCAGTCAATGAAACCCTCRCTGATTGGTTGTACGCTAAGCGACAGCGAGAAAAGTTGAACATTTTACAACTTTCATATATTGAGTTGAAAGCTCGCGTGTGCACGTCTACGTGTACGAGCGCGAAATTTCACATGCATGATTTTTGCCGGTCTCTTGGCTGGAGTAGGGCGAGTGATTGTCGCCTCGTTGCACAAGCTCCACAGGAAACGAATGGAGAGCGAGCGGCGTCGCCTCCTGTGTGTCGAGCCCTTCAGCAGTGTTAGCAGTGTTAGTGGTTGTTAGCAGTGTTAGCAGTGTTAGTGGTTGTTAGCATTATATCAAGGGTGCAACAGCAAAGGCTTTCCAAAATAATTAAATGTAAACATTTAACTTCAACATTTAAAACTTTTACATTTACATTTAAACATTTTGAATATGTGCATATAGTTTTTAACATTTCAGTTTAACATTTAGTAAAAGTTAGCAAAACGTAAGATCACTGAGCGAAATATCAATAAAATGTTAGTGTTGGCACTCCATATGCTCATGGAAGAGGGCCACACAATTTCAGTTTCCTGACATTAATGTTTGAAAAGATGCAAAAAAGTCTAAATTCTGTATATTTTTTACTTTGTGGCTCTAATTGTCTTCCATAGTTATTATGTTAAGTATCATATTTTTCAGTAATTCACAAATTGACAAGTGTTATTCAGTTTAGCTCCATTTAAAACCCACAATTATTTATGTAAATTTAATATCAGCGAAGAAATAAAGGGTAAATGTTTCGGCTTAAGATTCTGCATCAACCAAGTTTGTACAAATCCAGTATTTCAGTTTTGAGAAGCACTTTTTGTTTGCTCATTTGGTAAATGGACTGAACTTACTGTATAGCATTTTATCAAGCCCCATGGGGACCCCAGAGCACTTTACACTAGTCACCCATTCACACACACCGCTCGTTTGTTTTTTGTGTTGAGCTCTCAGAATAAAAAATATACGTAAAGAGTCAGTTTTATGTCATGAAATGCTTCCAGGTGAGTATTTTAAGGAAGGGATTGACTCTTGACCATGTCACAAGGCTTTCTTACAGGGATGGACGAACACCAACCAGTAGCAGAACTCGCAGAGCGATGCGTTTATGAAGGTTCCATTGCTCCACTGCGATGGCCACCAACAGGCCTCCGATGAACAGCATGTTTGAGTCTTTCAGATACTCGATACTGACCTGAAACGCATCACAAACATCCAGTCATCATAACTCAATTTAGTCACAGCAGCCGTCCTTTGGTAACCTGTGAAAATGTTGATGGAGGTTCATAATTACTTAATGAATAATAAAAGTGAGACGCCAGCGGAGTCAGCAAGTTTGCTCAACTGTTCTTTGAAAAAGGCCTGGCTTTCACGTTTCTTTTCATGAGTCCAGACAAAACCAGAGTTCAAGCCTGTTTTATTACATGTTTATCTCAGATTTCTTGGCAGCGATTACTGTCCTCCTGGTCTTGAGGACAAAATGTGTCCTGCGTTTTAATTATTCCAGTCATCTAATTATTAATTTATGACTTCTACTGATTGCTTGTTCATGTCAGACACAGAGGGAACTCACTTATGACACTAAATCTTATGCAACTAAGTTSAAATGACCTGATTTTTTTCGGATGACGAAGTAGAATTTTATCAAATTATCTGTGAAGCTAATAGCTGAAAGAAGCATTTCTTTTAAGGAACATACARTATAAGTTGTGACATAATAATAATATATAGGACCGTACATCTCCAGCCTTCATGATGCCCATCATGGGGAAGAGGACAACAGGAAGCAGGGCGGTCACAGCCAGAGGCATGCACTCTGTGCACCAGTAAAGAGCCATAAGGATGATGACGTAACCACATCTTGCCTCCTGCAAACACACAAGAGTGTCAATTTATTAATTATACTACCTTATTGTTAAGTTTATTTATTTTATTTTGTTGTTTGTTTATTTGTTTGTTTTCAGCTGATCCCCTCTTTAGTCGATCTTTACACAAAAAGTTTGGCCTTTTTTTTCTCCAGTTCCTGCTACCTTTTTTTTTTTTCAAATGTCATGCGATGAATACCAAAATACAAATGTGCATAAATGTGTACTTTAATGTGAAAAAACACATACAAAAATGTGGCACAAGGCGACACATTTAAACCCGGCGTGAAAGCACCACAATGTGGTGAAACCAAAGGGCTGATGAGAGACGTGGCTGCAGCTGTAACAGGGGAAACAGGGAACAGGTGGGTGTGGCAGGCTGACTGGAAAAACACTGGCTGACGGAGAAGTGGCACAGAGGGAAATATAAAAACTCAACAAATGAAATAAATAAGAAATAAACACGGGAATCACAAAACAGAAAATACAACTAAATAAACAGGAATAAACAATGAGAACAAAGAAAAGGTAACCAGTAAACACAGATCCTGACAATCTGTTCGGGACAAAAGTGACTAAATTACTGCAACTTTTTTCTTTTGGGGATGTTTGCGTCTGTTTGCAAAATATCTCATGAACCTTCACACATTTGAATGAAACGCTCAGCAGCAAACAGACCTAACAAGTAAAACTGGCTCCAAATCAGTCATTTTAGGAGAGGGAGCTAAAACTCTGTGTCCTTTCGGTCTTATCGCTGCCTTTGTTTAAAAGGCAATAAGAGTTTACACCTGCAGATAGAAGCAACCCTTGATCACAGACCAAACAGTTTGTTATGCTCTCAGATGTCAGATAACATTTACAATTCCTAAGAAAAAAAAATTCCATTTAAACTATCCGACATAAAACTTTCACTGGTAAAAKCACATCGAACTCTGCTGAGGATCTGCTTTGTGGTGCTTTAAGAAAAAATAGTTCAGAGAAAGTTGGTGCAATGTGTTCAATGCTTTGTCATCTTTTAAAGACGTTTTGATCAAAAGATCTTCAGGCTTCCTGGAGGACTTTTGTTTTTTTAAMTATTATTTCAGAAATAAAATGCTCAGTTGTTTAAAACTCATAAAACCTGGTTTTAAAAGGTTCTTACAACTAAACTATCTGCCTAAAAAGATTATTTTTTATGTTTGTAGGATAAAAGGTGATGTCCTTTAAAAGATATGTACAATAGACAGTCAACGGTTATAAAAGGTAATAAAAAAAAAGCTCCATGCAGTCCTACGTCACCTTCGATGTCGGATTTATCAGGAGATGATCATTGTTAAAAATAACAACACAAACTTTTTATGCTTTTTTGACTGTCATTTAGATAATGTAGAAAATGTATAAAGCTGCAGAGTTGTTAATGATCATAAACAGATTTTTACTTTGAGCGGTTGTTGGTGTGAATTCTGGATTCGATATGTTGGAGAAAAATTCACCAATAAGCAGTAAAATGGAAAACAAGCTGYAACGTTCTCAGTTTACTCTGTGGTTTTTCCTCATTCATTTTGAATTTAACATATGTGCTAAAAAAGACATGATTTAGTGACATGTAAAGTTTTTTAGTATTTGCGTAACTTATACAGTGGGTAAAATAAGTATTGAACATGTCACCATTTTTCTCAGTAAATATATTACTAGAGG